TTACCCCCATTCTCTTCTTTTGTATTCTTTTACAGATTGAAGATACCCATGTGGATTATTGTATGGATTCCGAAGTCAAGGCTAATACTGCTCAGTCCTCTGCTGTAAGTTTTGCGCAAAATAATGGTGCACCGTATTGATACAGCATACATCTCCGTTCAGTCTAATCTCTTTCAATTTCTTTCTCAGGACTTTGTCTGCTTTGGAGACAAGAAGCTTGCAAAATCTCGCCTGGCTACGATCAAGCACGGCGGCAAGGAGACCTTATTAGCCGGTAACCTAACATCTGCTATCTTTTCTGATGAGGAGCTCGCCTTGTTTAACCTGACTGGAGCAGGGAACAACAAGCACAAGTTAGAACTTAAAAAACAGAAAGTTAATCCAAAAATAGTGGAAGATATAATAAGTATGTATCCTCTTGATCTTAGACTTTAATTTCTCAAGTGATACTCAGTAGATCCATTGTTCATTTTATTTTGTCCTTTTTTCAGAATATGTATGTGAAGTGAAAAATCTGGATTTTGAAAAGGAACTGGATATTAAATCGAATTTATACAAGTCCATCAAAAATGTGTTCAGCAATTTTTGCAAGAACGACACTGCGAAGGCAATAATAGCTGCAGAGCTTCAGCGATACAAGGCAGCTGGAACCCCTCAAGATGTGGAACAAGAAAATAAGTGAACTTTTTGTAAATTCAAGTGACTCATGGTGCAGCTATTCCAAAATATCTTTATTTAGTTTTTAATTGTGAACATATTTTTTTGTTGTGTACATTTCGTGTGCACAGTATGGGATGTTTTAAATTTCATTTTAAGATGTTCGTGCAAGGAACTTTCAAATCTGTCATTTATAATGTGTTGCCCCACTGACTCGGCACTACTTTTTTAATCACACAGCATTTTAATTTAATATATTTAGTACTTTTAACTTATTAAGCTGTAACTTCCGCCCACCAATGTTATTTCACTGGTGCTCTGACAAAGTGGCAACAGTCCCCAAGATGCAATTGATTTTTGTGCTGCAGCTAGTGTCTGGCACTGACTTTGATTTAATAAAATGTTTTGTTCCAAACGCACACAAGATGATGATGTGCTGTATATATATGGTCCCCAGAATATTTGATTGAAATAGTGACAAAACATAGCCTATGAAGAAAAATGTTTCATCAGTGCACTTCCCTTCAGAGGCTATGTCTTGTGACTGTTTCTCTCAAATATTTTGGGGACCACATACATACAACACATCACCATCTTGTGTATGTTTGGGGCAAAACATTTCATTTAATCAAAGTCAGTGCTAGACACTAGCTGCAGCACAAAAAAAATACTCTAAGATTAACTGAATCTTTGGGACTTTCACCACTCTGTCAATGCACCAGATTATGGCAATCATGTAAAATAAGCTGTTATGATCAACTTGCTAAATGTTGATTGAATCAATAGCTAAAATTCACAGTGAAGGGCATGCCATCTGACCAAAATCTTGCACGCATCATCAATCTTTTAGAACTGCCTTATTTCGGCCATGGCTATTCGAGATCCTATTCTGTGATGTTGTTTTTTTTATCATTTTGTAAATTATCATTATTTTTATTTTAATATCATAATTTTTCTAACTTTCACATTGCTCTACAATTGTTTTACCATTAGTGAATTTGTGTGTTGTTCTAATCTTGAATTTGTGTGATATTTATGTGGATATTATTTTCTCTTTGTAAATGACTTTTTTGGCACATTTCTTAGCAAAAATTATACGTATGTATCATTAATTGATTTGGTGCCATTCTTATCCTGAATCGAATCTCACTGTAAGAGGTTTAATTTAGTAACATTGCCGTATTTCTGAGGTTTTTAGGCTGCTCTACGGTTTCTAGGAAAACCTCAGAAGGCTTATGAGGTTACTTCAGGAAAAAAACCTCATGCCTTCTAAGGTTACCTCAGGAAAACCTCACAGTATTCCTGAAGTAAACCCTGACGTTAACGTCAGAAACTTGTTCAAAAAAACGTCAGAAATGTCTGAGGTAAACTTCAAAAATAATTTTGAAGTTTTTTTTTGAAGTTATCCTGACGTTCCTTTTCCTAAGGGAAGTCATGATTATCCAGAATAAGGTCTACCAAAGCAGGGTCAAGGGCTGGATATTCAACGCCCGGGGGCGGCACTTGCGGAACAACATACTCGTTATGAGCCGGGGGGTTTCCGTGTGGAGGAATCACCATATTAAAAAAAAGGGAAATCAAACAGTAAACCAAAAGAAAATAAATGGACAGCGCAGAGGACCAACAACGGAAACAGACTCAAGTAGCATTTCCCCAGGCAACATCCACATTTATAGAACTCACCATCAACAAGAATGAATGCGGGGACATAAATATCCAGGACTATGTAGGAAGGGTTAAAAACTATCCACAGAGGGTGCCCGGTCGTCGCTTGGATACATTTCCCGCAGATCTAAAAAGACACGGAGCATTAGCATTCTAAGGCACCTTAACGGCCCAATGGAAATCTAAGCGAACGGGAGAATTTAAAGACTAATACTTACTTTCTGAACTTCTCGGTCATTCAGATTATACCCGGTGTAATGGTTAATAAGGACACGGGACGCCATTGTCGAAAAATCAAGGCAAGAATAGCACAAAAACTGTAGAGCAGATCAGCAGCTCACACCGATACAAGATAAAGATGGCGACTGACCGTAGGTGGGGTTGCCGCCAAAACGAAGCGTCCTTCACGGAAGGAGAGGAAAAGGAAGGAGTTGGGGTAACCCACTGCGCATGAGCGGCGCGCGCGGTCGAGTATGAGAATAAAAGGGGAACGCCGCCAGGGCACTCTGAGCAGGCGGAGAGGACGGCTAGCAGAACAGCACTAGAAATAAAGTTCTAAACCAAGGAATTGGATAAAGAACCAGATTAATTAAACACGTCAAGTCTCAAGACAACCCTGGAATCCAAGGAAATCACCAATCAACGCAGGCAGAGGAAGATTAACGCTGGATTAGATACGCTTAAAATTTCTATTTCAAAAGTTGAGTATTCCTAACCTTCAAGAGGTTAATAAGAAACGTGGTAGTGTTAAAAAATCAAAGGTGTCACGTAGATAGTTCTAGTCAGTCGTGTAGGAGACACCTAGGGCCAGTTAATGACAGCCCAAGGCAAAAGTTTAAGTGTTCAACAAATACTGTTCCAGGATTATTTGTGTGTTTCAGGTACACTGGTACACCTTTCTCCCACAGCAAGTTCACATCACGATTAATTAGAATTTTAAAGGCATGGAACTCCGTGGTTCATCTTCTGAATGGATTTTTAAACTACTATTGATAGCAAGTTGATAGTGGTCCGGCAAGGAATCATACTAATGCATTGCTACATGCTAGAAGGGAAGTCAATTTCTTTTTGTTTGCACACCGAGCCAGCCTAGTAGGTTTGAATAAGCCGTAGGTTTGGCAAAGTGGAAGTTCACAGGTTTAATTAAGTTGAAATTACTTAGAATTTGTTCATTTATTTATCAACAATATTTAAAAGTAGAGTCAGTTCAATCAATTTGTACGTTAACGTCCAAGTGTATTGTATGAAGTTCAAGGCGAAGCACTTGTGATTGTTAAAATTTTCCTGAACATTTTTAGGGAAGGGTTCTAAAAGAAGGGAGTAGTGTAGTATTATGGTAACATTAACCTATCCAGGTTACAGCAGAATACCCTCAGTCACGGCCACTAGTGATCACTATGGAGGCGACACCTACACTTAGACCCCTGAACCATTTAATTGTTTTACGATCGCCTTGTTCTTCTTGTTGTTATGCCAAACACTGAATAAATAGAGGCGCCATTTACCACTCATGAGTTCTGCTGTTCACATGATCTTGGCTCTCCCGTAACCCCAATACTACAGAATCATTAATTTTATTTTAGTGGAATGAAGTTGGAGCTTGGTTGATGTGCCCCCTCAATGACGGGCTTTTGACAATGCATCAGTGCACTTGGTAGCTTTTCTATCTCCTAAATTTGGAGGAAACAGATAAGAATTCAAGTTATTTTTTTGTTTGTTAATGATGAACAATATTCCTAGTTTGAAGAGGAACATTTGACTGTTCTGATACTCTTGACTTGATAGTTCAATAGATAGCCTTTCTAAAAACAACTGTCCCCCGCGCAATTTTGACCTTGCTCTCCAATTTCAACAGCTAGTAGGCAAGTAGGGTGCATTCTTGGTATGAAAGTGGGTATATATGCGGCTATTGAAATGAGGTATTTTCAAAAAAAAAAAAGGATCCTCATTTCTGTTTCTATTTTTGGCACACTTCTTGTAGTAATTTAATTTAGGAAAGATTATAGGAACTGTCTCTTTTACTTTTTTTAAAGAAAATAATACTCCAGCATTTACAGTTTTAATACTGGCACCCAGTTTAGATGCAACTTACACTCACCTGTGTCAACAGCTAGAAAAAAGAACTAATGCGCATTAAAAAAGAAAAGCATAACTTGTAACTGATAAGTCTGCTCCTGTTAACTTTGGTAACGGAACCTTGGTCAGTCAAATCACATTTATGTCTAAATAGTTTTTGTGTTCTAGTGGTTCTTTAGTAAAGTCCTCCGGCTTGTGAAGTTGGAGAATATTAACCCTAGTTAGTGACACTCCAAAAAGCTGACCTGTTTGTTTTCACTACAGCCAGTTTAGTGGAGGGCATACCATACTTAAAAGTTTTACTCTGTCCATCACCGCTCTGTAAGCTTGGGGTTCAAGTCTAGTTTGCAGTGGTGAGGGACCGAGTTTCCTGAGGGACTCATAGAGATTTGTTCAAATGGTTACAGCTCTTTTTTTTTTACAAATACACTAACCAGACAGCAGCATTTAATTCTAAAATTATTCTCTGATAATTTCTTCAAGTACATAGATTCAAAACCAAATGACAAACTGATATTAAAATAAATTCTTGATGTACATAAGCTCTTTATATTCAGTGACTGACAGATAGATAGATAAATCATAGTTTGAACTGAAATATATTACTATTTCTCAATATATATTATCTGTTAAGATTATAGGGGTAGCAAGAAATTAAAAACAACACTCAAACCTTCTTACATTTTCATTACTGCTACCCAGTATTATGGATGGATGAGGATAAAATGCTGTTTTTAACAGCTAGGTGGGAAGAAATCTTTAGATTTAAGGAAACTATTGTAATGCAAGAGCATAACAAACGGGGAAGTAGCTTTTAATCTCTTTCTTCCTGCTGATTCTGGTAGAGGGTCCATGGAGTGTC